ATAGTGTGCTGTGGGAGGAGGCTGAGGCCGAGGAGGGGATGAGTCTGAGGACCCTGTGGAGGGTCCTCGCAGGTAGGTCTTTCACAACATGCTTGTCGTTCAGGGGAGGGAGGTGGATGTTAGAGAGAATTTGATTTTATTGAAGCAATGGAATCAGTTAAGATTCCCAAGGAGACTGAAAAGCCAGGAATAGGGAATTAATTTTAGTGTGTGGGTTTCATCACAGCTTCGTTAGTTATCTGGAAGTCACTTGGATTCAGGCGTACACTGAGGGTGCTTCTCAGGGCCCCAGAGATGCGGGGAGAGACGGGGCAGGCATTTCTGCCTTGGAGGTGATCAGGCTCTGGAGAGAAGGCGGGCGCTAAATCTGGGGTGACAGTGCAGTGTTGCAAGTTCCGTGATAAGCCACAGAGCAGGGAGGCTGGAGGAAGGATGCATGTGAGGACAGCAGACAGTGACAGTGGAGAGGTGTGGGTTTGATCTGGAAGGGAAATTTTGTCATTTGTTCCTTTTTGGTGAGTTTTTTACTTATGATACACCCCTGACTGTGCACATGCACCTCATGACTGCGCATGTGCTGGCCCCTGGGGCCCAGGGCTCTTCGCTGTGGTGTCCGTCAGCTCCTGTCTCCCCGCCCTGCAGGTACAGAGCCGTTACCCCCAGTGATTTGGGTTGACAGCCTGGCCCGATTGCTCTTTGTCAGCTGGCAGCTGGTGCTGCAGGTTGGTGGCCCAGGAATGACTTCCTCGGGATGTTTGTGTCCAGTTCCCAGAAATGAGCATCTGTGTGGCCTCCCTGCTTCCCTCCCTGGGACCAGCCTTGTTTGTGTCTGCATCGGGGAGGGGAAGGGGGCAGAAATGGCGCCTGACCTGTGATGGTGTGAAGGGGTCGTTTGGGTTGTTGGCCAAGGTGATCAGAGCAGGGAGAGGTCAGAAACCAGGTGCAAGGTGGGGCACGAAAGAATATAAGACATCAAGCCCTACAGGAGCTGCAGTAACTAGAAAACCAGTAAGAAAACGTTTATTTATCATAAAGTTTATCTATTATTAATAATATTTTTAATAGTCTGTTATTTTAAGTTCTGAGCTCACTTAGCTACCAGGGATGTTTCATTATTGAAAGAGTGCTTGCCATCTGCTTGTGCCATGTCGGCTGAGGGTGACTGGAGTGTCCCTCACCACTTCTCTGACCCCCTCGGCTTCCTCGTGCTTTCCTGAAAGGGGCAGTTAAACCTCTGCTGGGAGCCCTCTCCCCACCACATCTCACCCTCCTCTCTATTCAGTACTGCCTCTCCCTGCAGCGCGGGGCTTCTGCCCCTGGAGTCACGTTTTACCTGCCTCTTCCTAGTTACTATGCTGCTGGCCCTGCAGATCAGGGATTGTCTTATGTTCACCTCCCTCCTGGCTCACAGTTAGTTCTTAACTGATCGTTAAGTTAGCTGGAGATCTCAGTGCAGTCAGGCTTTATAATAGGAACACTAGACCTTGTAGTTTTTGTATTTATTAATTATTAGACAAAGGATAATATATATTCTCCCCCCCCCCGCTGAAATTTGACTTTAAGTGAGAAGATTGTCTTTTGGAAAGTTACATTTTCCAGTTTAAAATTGATGTGCAATTCTTAGTTGTGAAACTAAAACGCATTTCACTCCCATTTTAACTGAGTATTGGCTTGTTGACAATTTTTTTCTTTTTTGTCCTCATTCTGCTAACTAGCCCAATGTAATTATAATTAGCAAATGAGGTAAAGCAGAGTTTAAGCAGGTGAATCTTACCAAAAGCATGTAAATGTCCTTTTCCCTCATGAATTAAAATAGAATTTAAAAAATTTTTAAATTTTATTATTATTATTTTTTTTTACTTTTGGGGGGAGGTGATTAGGGTTATTTATTTATTTTATTTTTTAATGGAGGTTCTGGGGATTGAACCAGGACCTCGCCCCTGAGCTACACCCTCCCCACCCAAACTGGAATCCAAGAAGCAATTAAAATTCTGTTTTGGAGTCTGATACTTTGGTAATTTTTTTCCTCATAAATCTAAATCAAAGATATGACTGTAGGCTGCAGAGACTTAAACTGATTATTCGGTAACAGAAATACAATTTTCCATTTGTGTAAGGGAGGTACTTAAGTGTTAGTACTGAGCAATGTATGCTGATTAAGAAACGAGATGTAGCTAATGTGTCTTCTGTCGTTCTCTCAAGTTTATTTTAGGAACAATTATTGAACTAATGTCAAAAGTAGAAGGGACAGGTACCAATATTTTTGATATTAAAGTAAGGATTCAGGTACAATCTGAGTTTAAAGTTACTTTCTTTCTGTATGGCTCCCCAGTTTTTCCTGTCTGTGGACAGTGGAAGGACTATTTTAGTCTATGTAAAGGTAAAAGTGGAACAGGCCAAGTCTTTTTTTAAATATAAAACTGGGTCATGGGCAGAGGCACTGGTCCCAATTTAGTTGTTAATTAATGACACATATGACCCATAAAATTAGTTTTGTTTCTTTGTTCTCCTTTTAAAGACTTTCTTTTTTTTTGGTATGAAAAATCCACTTATTTTTGTTGGTGACTCTTCATGAACAAGGCTGTTTGTTCAGTTTGAATGTCCAGTACTTAAATCTTATAAATATTTGAATACCAATTTTTATTTGATTCATTTATTAGAAGTACTTCTTGTTGCTTATTATTTTATTTTAAGTCTTCTTCCTTTGACTTATCTGCAGAGTAAGAAGCAACTGGTGGTAGGGACTTCATAATTGTCTTTTTGAGTTTTTTGTGTTTTGTATAATAATACAAATGTATTGGACTGGGGCACCAGCTTGCCCCAAGTGCATTCAGGAAGATTGCATTTCATCAGTATCACCTGAACAATAGCGTACAGAAGAGTCACACAGGGCGCTTAAACATGCAGATTATCGATTACTACCCCCACCCCAGCCCTACGTTACTCTTCACTCCCAGTAACAAGAACTTTGATCAGCGCCCCTCGATGGATTTGTTATAGATGGTGGCCGTCCCTTAGAAACACTAGCTTGTACAGCATCAGTACTGTGGCTGTCATTGCTACGAATCCAATGGACAGGGCAAGGGCCCCGGATTCTTGTCCTAATCAAATGCTAAAGTTCATAATTCTCATTGTAATAAAATTGGGAAATAAAGCACATAGAAAAAAATATATAATCCCATTATCCAGAGAAAACTGATTTCTAAAAAATTTAATTTTTATTCTTTAATTTTTCTTCTTCCAGTTTTACTGAGATGTAATTGACCTACAGCACTGTGTAAGTTTATGGTGTATGCATAGGATTTGACTTAACATACATCATGAAGTGATTATCACAATAAATTTAGTAAACATCCTTCTCATATAGATAGAATATTTTTACATAGAAAAAAAATTTTGTGATGTGAACTCTTAGGATTTACTCTCTCAGCTTTCATACGTAGCATACAGCAGTGCTAATTACATTTATCATGGTATACCTTCCATTGCTAGTACTTGTTTATCTTACAACTGGATGTTTCTTTTGACCACCTTCATCCAATTCCCCCTGCCTCTGGCAACCTCAAATCTGATCTTTTTTCCTATGAGTTTGTCTGTTTTGCAGTGTATGTAACTGACCTACAGCACTGCATTAGTTCCTGTTACACAGCTTAGTGACTCGATAGTTGTCTCTCCCCTGTGACTTCATGACTGTCTTTACTACTGTGTTTGGATTCCTTTCTCTTTCTTGTGCATCTGTTGTAGGTTTTTGGTTTGTGGTTACCATGAGCTTTATATATAGCTATGTGTGTGTATATACACACACGATTATTTTGTTACTGATCTCTTAAGCTCAAACACATTTTAACAGCCCTGCGTTTTTGTTCTGCTCCCCCCACGTTTACTGTTTTTGACATCGTTCATATTTTTGTTTTATGTATCCTTTAACTGCTTACTGTGGATGTAGATAATTTTACTCCTTTGTCTTTTAACCTTCCCGCTAGCTTTTCACATGTGGATGGCTTACTACCTTTACTGTATATTTGCGAAAAAATGAAATTTTTCCTTTTGTGGTTTTCATGTTTCTGGTTGTGGTCTCTTCTTTTTCGCTGAGAGAGGTGCCTTTAACATTTCTTGTAAAGCTGGTCTGGTGGTGCCGAACTCAGCTTTTGCTTATGTGTAAAAATTTTGGTCTCTCCATCAGATCTGAGTGAAAGCCTTGCTGGGTACTGATCATGGTTTAGCTGATTTATCTTCATGCTTAAAATTTTTTAAGTTGGGAGCTAGAAGCATTTTTATATTTTGCTTTTCTTATTAAGCTCGTAAAATCTTTTTATCATGTTAAGAAATGATTAACATTTTCATTGCTTGTATTTCCTCTTATGTTGGATCATTATTTACTTAACCATTCTTCTGTTGTTGGATGTTTAGCTTGTATTTAATTTATTTCTGATAAGTAACATTGGAATGCACGTATTTGTGGGATTTTTTTTTATCTATAGAATTTTCCCCCTAAGAATATTTTTCAAAGCTTTTGAAACATGCTACTGAATTGTTTTCCAAAAAGGTTCAGTTAATTAAACTTACCAACAATAAGCTACAGTTGTTAATTTCATCTTCACTAGCATTGTTTGTGTTCATTTAAAAAACCTGCATTTTTGGTTCAATAGGCAAAATGGTATGTAATTACTACCTATCCCTTGTTGTAGTTAGTATGTTTTGTGTATATGTAAAAGTTAGTTTGCTATTTTATACTAAATATTTTTTCACCAAGAATTTGTATTTTCAAGAGTTCTTGAGGAAGGTTGTTAGTGGTCAGTCAGTGACAATTCCCTTGACTTTTTCTCAGTGGTTTGAACAATTGATATGAAACATGGACAGTGTCTTTTCACCAGAGATCAGAATATTAAAAATACTGAGTCGCCTTCTGTTCTCTTTCCACACACTTTGGAAATTGAAAGTTTTAAGCTGATCTTAAGTTTGGAGTTAATTCATTGAGGAAACAAGGTTCTTATTTCTACTGGAAACTATTTGTAACAGCAAATGGGCAACATTTCAAATGAACTTCTGTCAGAGAATTTAGTGTTAAGTCAGAGTGTGAAATACTGAAGTTTTACCATTCGTCTGTTGGCAGTAAATCTGCTCTAAATAGACGTTCTGCTTAGAATCACTGTTGTCTCCCTTGATTTCAGGCATTTCAGCCTCTATTTCTCCTTTTTTTCAGTTTTGAAGTTTCCCTAATGTAAATAAAAATTAGGAGCCATTCCTTTCTCCTTTTCATCTCTTCCCAGTGTTTGATATTTATATATATTTGTTTTCATTTCTTATATTATTTCCTTGGTTGCTGTAAGTCATGTCTCTGGTGTTCACTCACCGAGGTTGTGGACTCCGGTTCCCCTCACACTGCTGATTTCTGGAAGCTGGTTCCAGGCAGGGAGGTGGTGGGTGGCCTGCCTTTTATTTCTTCTCCAGGGATCATAGTTCTGAGCTATTTGTTTTGTTGTACAAGGCCTGAAAATACTCATTCCTTAAATTGTATTTACTTTTCTAGTTTATGGGAGGAACATAATTTCAGATCCTTAATGGCAGGAAGCTGGAGTCTTTTAATGAATCTAATTTAAATTGCTGAATCTAGTGATTATTTCAGGGCCCTTAACATTGAAGTCTTTAGATTAAGTTCCCCTTCTTTCAAAATTTTCCTTGTTACTTTTAAATACTGCCCTTTCCTGTTAGACTGTCTGCTTCTGACTTTCTGTTTCCTTTCCTGGATCCTCTCACTTTGCCTGGTACCTTAATTATGTCAGTTCCAACAATAATTATAATGCCACTGCCAGCGGGCACTATGCCATGCCCTGTGCTAACTTTGTGCTTGTATTCTCATTTTAGTTCATAAAGCAACTGCTCAGTATTCTCCAGGGGTCTGCGTTCCCCCTTCTCTCCCTCTGTGTACTGTCTTAAGTTACTGGCCCCACCTGTATGCTGATGACTTTTATATTTTTAGCACTGATTTCTGTACTGAGCTCCCAGTGTGTACATCTAACAGTCTGAGCCTTTCCACCTGGATTTCCAGAAGATGTATCAGCCTCATACAATTGAAATGGCACTCCTCTTTGTTCCTCTCTTTATCCTAGTCTTTATCTTGACATTATTTAGTTTGTGCTTAAACAACCCTCCTCTCCCAAAATATGCTTCACCCAGACAAACATACCATCCAAGTGTTAACTGAACTTTCTACTTATGTCTTGATTCTGGTCCTGCTGCTCCGGCCCTCCTTGTCCTGTTGCAGCTCTGTGTTCTGTCTGCACAGCCTCCCCACTGATCTGCCTCTAGCTGTGTCCTTGTAGAATCTGCAGTGTTTCTAAATCGTGAGTCAGAAGGGGCTTCCTGGCCTGTCTTCTCCAGCGGTCCCCACAGTGCTGCTGGATGACGCCTGCTTTCTGACATGACGCACAACTCCCCTGTTTTGCCCCTGCTGCTCCGTAGACCTTTCCGTGGCTGCTCCTCTCCCTGCTCCCTGAGTCAGCATCCTTCCCGGGCTGCACCACGGGTTTCCCAGATGTTTGTTCTTGTTGCTCCTGTATCCTCAGCGTTGACCTGGCTGGTCCTTTCTTACTCATTTCTTTTTTTGTCTTTATATATATGTTTTTAAACTTTATTTGTATATTTATTTTACAATGTCATATTTTTTGATTGAAGTATAGTTAATATACAATATTATATGTTATAGCTATACAATATAGTAATTCACAATTTTTAAAGGTTATACTCCATTTATAGTTATTATAAAATATCGGCTATATTCCCCGTGTTGTACATCCTTGTAGCTTATTTTATACCTAATAGTTTCTACCTCTTCATCCTCCACCTCCATCTTGCCCCTCCCCTTTCCTCTCCCCACTGGTGACCACTGGTTCCTTCTCTGCATCTGTGAGTCTGTTTCTTTTCTGTTACATTCACTAGTTTGTTGTCGTTTTTTACCCATTTCTGAGGCTTATTCTGTTGATTCCAGGTCTTTTCCTTTTTGTGCCCACACTAGCCCACGTGTTGGCTCTAGTGTTGTGTTTATTATGCATTTAAATAATCTTTGTTTCTCTTTCTTCTGTATTACAAGGTCCTAGAATTTTAAATTTTAAAATTTACATGTGTAACCTCAGCACCTAGCTAAGTGCTCGTTGCTCAGTTTCTATCAGTTTCTATTTATCTCAGTTTCTTCTGTGGTGACACAGTTGTCCATTCTTGTCCCCAAACTAGGAATGTGGATGTTTCTGAGTTTCCTTTATCACGTGTAACCGGTTCTCAGTCCTTCAGTTTTGCTTTTACTTGGCTCTCTGTGTTTGCAGTCTTCTGTTTGTTCATTCATTCAGCAAATTTCCTTAAGTGCCACTGTATGCTAGGCAGTGAGCTAACTCAGCTGCATGCCAAAGATTGCATTGAATTTGTAGAATTTATAGATTAGTTTTTGGAGAAGTAACGTGTTTACAAAATTATACTTTTCCATTTAGGAACAAAGGTTTATCTATTCACATATAATTTTAGGAATCTGAGGAAATTTTTATAGGTATTTTTTTTATTTTTTATTGAGTTATAGTCAGTTTACAATGTTGTGTCTATTTCTGGTGTATAACACATTTTTTCAGTCATACATGAATATACAAATATCCATTTTCATATTCTTTTTCGCAGTGAGCTACTACAAGACCTTGTATATATTTCCCTAAGTTGTACAGTATAAACTTGTCTGTCTATTCTATATATAAGTATTCTTCATTTGGTTTCTTTTAAAACTTATTTATAAGTGTCTTAACAGTTCTTTTCATAGTGTAAATGAGATTTTAAAAATTCTGCTACATTTTCCAGTTTGTCATTACTCATGTATTGGAGACTGTTTAGATGGGCCAACTTATTTGAACTTCTTAGTAGTTTTCACGGGCTGAGGTTTTCAGATATTGGTTATATCAGTGACAGATATCAAGAGTTTTCTCCCTCCTGGGTATTTATGCCCATTTTTCGTACCTTAGTACATTGTTTAGGCTCTCCAGTGCCATGTTGAATAAAAGCAGTGATCCATGGCATCCTGGAATTACTCTTGACTTTAATGAAAATGCTTCTTATCGGTGTCTTGTTTGGTATGATGTTTATTTTAAATAATAATTTAAAAATGTCAAATTAAGGAGGCATCGCCTATTCCTCATTTTTTATCCTGAATCCATGTTGAATTTTATCAAGTGCTTTGTTGGTGTTTGTGAAGGTGATTATGTT